AGTAAGAGAAAGAAATGAAGGGGTACAAACATGATGAAGACATCAAAAAGAATTCCTATTTACAGACAATATAAAAGTCCCAAAAGATCCCACCAGAAAACTCTTGGATCCAATGAACACTTCTAGCAAATAACAAAATCAACAGACAAGAATCAATAGCCATTCTATATATCAGGAATCACCTTGCTGAGAAGAAACCATGAAAAAAAAATCCATTCACAACAGCAAACAAACAAAACAAAAAGAAAACCAAAACATCAAAAAAAAAAAAAATCAACAACCCTAGGAAGGCCAGTGAGAAGGTTCAGAAGGTAAGCCACCAAGGCTGCAGCCCGAGTACAATCCCGGGGACCCACTTGGTGGCAGGAGAAGGCCAACCTCTGCAAGCATTCTTCTAACCTGTACACGAATGCAGTGACATACATGCCATCTCCTGCCCCAACACACACAAGAAACAGTGAATGAATGGATAGATAAATAAACGAAAAAAATCTGGAGGAAAATACCCTAGCAATTGGAGCCAGTGAGATGGCTCAGTGGGCATAGGTGATGGTTGCCAAGCCAAACAACCTGGGTCCAACCCCCAGTCCCACATGGTGGAAAAAGAGAACAGATTCCTTCAAGTTGTGCTCTGACTTCTATACACATATGCTGTGGCACACAACTGTGGCACATATGTGCCTATGTGCACACACACACACACAAATTATTTAATTAATCATCTTTAAAACTCTAGGAATAAACCCAACCAAACAGGTGAAAGATCTCTACAATAAAAATGGCAAAACCCTGCAGAAAGGTCCTGGATATACTAGGAGATATCAAAAGTCCTCTTGTGCTGATAAGCTGGCCGAATTAATACCACAAAAACGCATGGATTACCAAAAGCTGTGTATAAATGCAATACAATCACCATCCAAATTCCAATGCTATTCTTCAAAGAACTAGAAAGAAAACAGTAAATATAAAATTCATATGCAAGTACGAAAGACTCCAAATAGCCAAAGCAATCCTAAATAACAAAGAGTAATGTTGGATACATCACAATGCCTGATCTCAAACTATACTACAGAGCCCTAGTAACAAAACAGACCAATGCAACAGAAGGAGAGGAGCCAAGACGGGCAATGTGCATACCTATAATCCCAGCATTCGAGAAGTAGAGGCCGGAGGATTAGGAAGTCAAGGCCAGTCTCAAAAAAAGAAAGAAGAAGAAAGAAGGAGGAGGAGGAGAAAGAAGGAGACGGAGGAGAGAAGGGGAGGAGAGGAGGAGGCTGAGAGGAAACAGAGCAACAGTGCTATCCAGGATGTGGGGGAGGAGGAACGCTTACTCACTGCTGGTGGGGATATAAATTGGCGCAGTTACTACAGAAGTCAGTGTGGAGGTTCCTCAAAAACACTCAAAAATACTTGTATAGCCATGTTTACCAATGCATTTTTTCATGATAGCTAAGAAAGGAACCAGCTCGGATGTCCACTAAAAGATGAATGTATAACAAAAATGTAATACACACATAATGGAATTATATTTTGTCATAAGGAAAACCAGCATCTTGACATCTACCAGAAGATGGATAGAACCATAGATCTTCTTTATGCTTGTTGCTTTGTTTTTGTTTTTTGAAACAGGGTTTCTCTGTGTAACAACTCTGGCTGTCCTGGAACTCACTCTGTAGACCAGGGTGGCTTGAACTCAGAAATCTGCCTGCCTCTGCCTCCCCATGTGCACACATGCATGCGCTCACACATGTGCGTGAACACACACACACACACACACACACACACACACACACACGCACACACCATGAAAATAGAAAGGGACCATGTTTGGGAAGAAAGAGATCTTAAGGGATGGGGAGCTAGGAAAAGGGAGAGAGTAATGGAGCACTTGGGGCATGAGAGCAGAAAAGAGAGACAACAGGACAGAGGAAGGAGACCAGCAGGATGGGGTGGGGCTCGTGAGATGACTAAGTGGGGAAAGATACTGTGCAAGCCTGGTGAGTTCAATCCCCAGGACCTGCACAAAGTAGAAGAGAACCAACTCCAGAGCTGTCCTGTGATGTCCACACACACATGGAGTGTGTGCCCCCCCACTGCTAACAACAAATAGAAGGGGTGTAAGGAGGATGGGGGGCAGTGGGGAAGCAGGCTGAGCGATAACACATACATATGAAAATGCCATTATGAAACCCATTACTTTGTATACTACCTTAAAATTTTAAAGAGAATTACAGAAGGAAAGTGGGGAATAACTATACATACAAAATATAGACAATTAGAGTAGCACACACACGCCTTTAATCCCAGAGAGGCAGAGGCAGAGGCAGAGGCAGAGGCAGGCAGATCTCTGTAAGTTTGAGTCAGCTTGATCTGACTTCTAGGCTAGGATTATATAGTGAGATCCTACCTCAAAATAAACACACACAATATATATATAAAAATAAATACATATGTAATATATATTTATATATATTTCTAGAAAGAGACCAAAATTCACATAAAGAAAAACAAAAATACTTGACTAAAGACCATTTAATTTGCTTAAGTAATTGTTCAAGCATACAGTGTCCCAAGTCTAGTCCTTTCGCTGTATTGAATTTTCCCTAACAGCCTAAGGAACGTATAACATGTAATGTGTCACTACAAATAGCTACAAAATGTAGGGGGGGGGGGGGCAGAGAAACTGCCAATGCAATTGGGAGTTGCAAATAGGCCTCGCCCTATCACTAAGGCTGCTCTCAAACTCTATGAAGTCCAGGCTGGCCTTGAATTTGCTCCTCCTGCCCAGCACAGGCCTATTTCCTATTGTGTGGCATTGAAGGTTAGGGACCAGTAGTGGTGTCAAATATGCCCCAACACACAGGAGGGCTCAATCAGGACTGTGGCTCAGTTTGAGAACACTGGCCTAGCACACCCAAGGCCCTGGGCGCCATCCCTAACACATGAAAAAGATAAAAGTGTCAGGGTCCCATGTGCTGAATAAATGACTAAGTCTTCCACCATGGGCTCTGAATGCCAGCTGACCCGGGGGACACAACAGGGCTGTGGGTGACTTCCACCATGCACCTGGGTCTGTGCTCCTCTGCTCCACAGCAGTCTTGTTCACACTTCTCTTCCCACCCTTTACCTCATGAAATCTGATCTGGATGCCTGGGGATCCCCTCCTGCTGGCTGCCCTAGCCTTCCCTTTGTGACAGGAACCCCTGTTGGAAGCATTTTGAGTGAAATCCCAGGAGGAGTTAATGTTACCACTAATTCCCATGGTCACTGTCTGGCCAGGGCTGACAGCTCTACAGCCTACCCCTATCTGGGCCCTGCTGCTCCTGTAGAGTCCTCTTGGACTCTTAGGTGGGTGGCCTAAGGGGGCTGCACAGGATGGAGCCTACTCAGTGTTAAAGATATCCCCAGGCCTGGGAGGCTGAGAAGGGAAGGTCACAGCGCAATTTTTTGTCAGGAGTGAATCTCTGGGTGGAAAAGCCCAGCTGCCTCACTTCATTCAGCGAGTCACTCATGGCTGACTCATTCGCTTAGCAAACAGAGCGTTCACCATGCATACCTTAGGCTAGTCACTGAGACAGACAGGTGTGCACATACACGCACATGCACACGTGCACACACGCACACACACACACTGAGGCACAGACACTGCCTATGAGAAAACTGACTTGCTGAGGGCCTGCTTTCTCTCTAAAGGCTGTTTGCTGTTCCAACTCTGGTGTTGATCTCAGGGTTCCAGCAACTTCTCCAGAAACCACACAGCCAGAAGCCCCCCTTGTGGGAGCCTCTGGGGACCCCAGTGCTCGAGAACAAAACCCTTTCAGGCCAGCCAGCAGTTTTAGTATCTGGGGACCAGTCCCATTAAACAGGCAACAGAGTCAGCAGGGTCCAAGCTTACGGCTGCCTCATTCCCAGGCCGGAAGCGCCTCTGGGCAATCAGCCCTGGCCAGAAGGTGTGAGGTGATAGGGAGTGGAGCACAGGTTTGGGAACACAGACTTGTTTGAAATCTAGAGATGCTATTTTTTGGTGTGTGACCTTCTGCAAGTCATCACCTCTCTGAGCCCTGATTTCATCTGTAAAGTGAGGGGTAACAGGGTTCCCTTTCTGGACCAATGGCTAACTCTACTTCTTCTACAGAAGAGGACTCTGGGTCCACACACTGTGGCTGTCACAGGTTGGTAAGAAGAGAATCTTTTGACTCATTAAATCATCCCTGAGCCCCCAAACTGCTTTTTGGGTGGGCTTCAGAGGATAACGGTTTCTATCGTCCTCTGCTGGCCACTATGATTTCATCCTTCCTAGACAAAACCAAGAACCTACCAGAGAAGTTCTCAACCAATGGGTCACGACCCTTACACAGGGGTCACCTAAGACCATCAGAAAACACACATATTTACATTATGATTCATAATCGTAGCAAAATTGAAGTTATGAAGTAGCAACAGAAACAATTTTATGGTTGGGGTTACCACAACATGAGGAGCTCTATTAAAGAACAGTGACATTAGGAAGGTTGAGACCACTGATCTGGCAGAATACAGGGGCTCCTTGGACCCTCTGGGAGTCAGAAGGGAGGCATCAGAGCACCGTGGAGGGTGTGGCCTTGGTCCCTGCTCCATGCCCCATACCATCTGTGCCCCCTAACACAAGGGCCTGTGGGTGTTGGAGCCCAGACCTCCTGACACCCAAATCACACACATGTATGCCCAGTTCTGCCGGCCACCTCTACTGGAACAACTTACTGAGGACCCTCTGCAGCCAGTCTCCAGCCCCCGGTACTACCCCTGCTCCTCCCTGACTCGTCTTTCAGTTTTGTTCCTCTGCTAAGGACTTGGAAGCATTGCTGATTTGCCATAATGGCCACCTGTCATTGCTGAAGGCTATGTGTCCCCCTATCCTCTTGGGCTGCAGGTGCTGTTGCAAGCATCTTGGGGCCCCCAGGCTGGGAGGAGCAGAGCCTGGTCTTGGGCTTTCAGGATGTAAACACACAATGGGCACTTACATGCTGAATCAGTGTCTCCACGATTTTGTAGCGGTCTGGCATGTGGGTCACCATGTCTGTCATGTTGTCTTCAGATGTCCTTACCAACGTTGGCCCGAACACCAGAGCCAGATTCCGGGGCTCCATCTGCGTTGGTGAGGGAAAGTCCGAGGATCATTGCTTTGAGCATGACCTCCAGTACCCGTCACTCTTCCTTCACTCCAGGTCAACTGAGAGCACCATTCCCAACCCTGATATAACCTGAGATTAGGGGATGAACATCCCACATGGGCCCAGAGAGGTTTGCTAAGTAAAGTACAAGCCAGATGCTTAGCCTCTCTCATTTCTAGGCCTGGCAGCCATGATCAGTGCCCACCTCACACACCATCCAGGGTAGCCCTAGAGTTAGTGATAGCAGTGGAGATTCTGGTGAGAGACAGGTTAGAGATTCTAGGGTAGTCTAGAATCCCGCCATTCCTCTCTTTTTCTCCACTGCAGAACCAAAAGACAGAAAGAACTGGATGAGAAGGTGTAAAGCGGAGGGACTAGAGCTGGATCAGAGGACAGATGCCACCCTGCATGGGAGAGTGTGGCTCTTGGCCCCTACAGAGCCCTCAGCAACTCAGCCACTGGCTCTATGCGGGAATGGTGCTGGCCCAGCTTCAGGCTGGGGCCCTGGCCCAGTGTGGTAGGAACAGAATAGCCTGAGGAAGAGGGAGGGCTCACATCATGCTGAGGGAGCACGAACTCTGTGCAGCCAGTGCGTCCCAGACTCCACCAGGGAGCTACACACACCTTGTTTTTCTCGGAATGATCAGCAATGGTCTTGAGATGGCCCACGAGGAATTTAAGCGTTTCATAGTAGTGTCCTGGGAGATCCCGGATCTAGGGCACAGGAGGAGGGAAAAGGGATCAGGCTATAGCGATCTCCAATCCAGCCTCTACCATGCTCCAAAGAGATTCCCACTGCCCCACCACAGGGATCTGGAATCCACCTTCCAACCCCTTTCCCTGGTGCAGATGGGGAAACTGAGGCTATCAGTAGAAAAGGACTTGTCTGAAGTCTCTGGGGGATGGCACCAGGCTGCCCCTCCTGCCTGACAGGGCTTCTGTCCTCACCAACTTCCGCAGGGTCTTCATCCTCTCCCTGGAGTCTTCTATCCGATTGGCCTCGATGAAGTCATTGTATTTGTCTAGAACACAGGAGAGATCCTCAGAGGTGGGAGGCAGCCACTTCTCCACTCTCGGGAGCTGAGAGTCCCAGCCAGGAGGGGAGGGCACTGCTGCTTCCCGAGTTGCCATGCTGGAAGACTAGCGCTTTTCCTTGATCCTTGCAAAGGTCTCCACCCCTGTCTTCAGGTCAAGATCTCAAAGCTCAGTAGGTAAGAAAAAAGGAGGCGGGCCTTCAAGCACCTCACCTGCCTCAGCAGTCCCCAGCTCCCAAAGATGCCCCAGGAACTTTAATACTGAAGGTAATTAAGCCCTTTCCCCCATGATCCTTGGGGCTGCAGCCTCCATCAGGTTAACTTGGATAGAACCTTCAGCAAATAGGAATTTAGCATGGCCAGGCCCTCAGTACCATCCCCAATACCATCAAAGCAGAAAACACAGTTCACCCAGATGAGCCATGTACAAGGACTGCCAAGGGGGACATGGCTCAGTGGGGGAAGTGCTTGCTGTACCAGCATGAGGACCAGGATTTTTGATCCACAGCACCATATAAAAAGCTTACTGTGATGGGGGTGGAGACATGGTTCAGAGGTTAAGAGCACTGGCTGTCCTTCCAGAGGTTCTGAGTTCAATTCCCAGCAACCACACAGCAGCTCACAACTGTCTATAATGGGATCTGATGCCCTCTTCTGTGTGTAGGCATGTATACAGACAAAGCACCCATATTCATAAAATATAAATCTTAAAAAAAAAAAAAAAGCTGGGTGGTGGTGGCACATGTCTTTAATCTCAGCACTAGGGAGGCAGAGGCAAGCGGGCCTCTGTGAATTTGAGACCAGCCTCAGCCTCAGCCTCATCTACACAGCAAGTTCCAAGAAGGCCAGGGCTACACAGAAAGAACCTGTCATCCACCCCGAAGAAGAAGAAGAAGAAGAAGAAGAAGAAGAAGCAGCAGCAGCAGCAGCTTACTGCAGCAGCCTGCCTTGTCACTCCTGTACTGGGAGAGGGGATAGGAGGATCCCTGGAGTTCACTGGCTATTCAGTCTAGCCAACTGGCAAACCCCAGACTCAGTGAGAGACCATGTCTCTGGAGGACACCAGATGTCAACCACTGGCTTTTGAAGATGTACACATGGGGCATTGAGGACTGGGATTCCACTGCAGGACAAGGCAACAGGAAGGATGCAGGCATGCCCACATGCCCGGGACTAGGGAGAGTGTTCGTTTCTACCTCACACAACTGTACGACAGAGGCCAATATGTAAATCAAAATATCAAAGGTGAGGGCCTGTGAGGTAGCTCGGTAGGTAAGGTGCTTGCTGCCAAGTCTAAAGACCTGAGTTCAACTCTTGGGTTCCACATGGTAGAAGGAGAAAATTGAATCCTGCAAGCTGTCCTTTGACCTTGACATGTGTGACTTGGCATGTCTGTGTACTCCTTCCCCATAGTAATTAAATAAATGTACTAATAATTTTTAAAAGATCAAAGGCAAGCTGGGCATGCTGGCTCATGCCTATAATCTCAGCACCCAGGAGGCTGAGGCAGGAAGATTTCTCTAAATCTGAGGCCAGCCTAAGTTAGTAAGAACCTGTCTCAAAATGGGGGAAAATCACAAGGCCTAAACATGAGATATTCAACCCATTAAACAAAGAATGAGTGTTTAGGCACTTAAAAATATTGTTTTCTCCCAGTGGTGGAGGTGCACGCCTTTGATTCCAGCACTCATGGGGCAGAGGCAGGCAGAGTTCAAGGCCAGCCTGGTCTACAGAGTGAGTTCTAGGACAGCCAGGGCTACACTGAGAAACCATGTCTCAAAAAAACAAACAAACAAAAACAAAAAACAAAAGAAGAAATAATAAGAATTTTGTAAGATTTTAAACACTGTTTTTGGTTTTTAAACTAAAAAGTCTAAGAGAAATGGCAGCTGGCTGTGATGGTATAACCCGAAATCCCAGCATCCAGAAGGCTGAGGCAGGAGGATTGCTTCAAGTATGAAGTTATCCTGGGGTACATAGCAAGACCTTGTCTAAGAAAAAAAGTAAAAAGGCAGGGAGAGGAGGCTACAGAAAATAGCTGCAAAATCAACAAAGGTTACTGCATACCATATACAAAAAATGGTACGCAAATCAAGAGGAAAAAGATGGCCCAATAGAAGTACAGGAGCAGGGTATGAAGAAACAATTACAGAGAAAATGGAAACAACCAATAAACTATCGAAAAGAGGCTGACCTCCCTAGAAATGGGGGCAATACAATGAGACCATAATGAGACCCCATGCCCTCCTACTGATCAACAAAGCTTCAGACACTAACAACCAAGCTGGCGCTGTGACCCAGCGGCAGAGTGCAAGGCCTTGTGTTCCACGCCCAGACTTCGAAAAAGGAAAAAATAAACAAACAAGGTGTGGTGCTTTGATGAGGGATGTCATTCTGCATGTTGCGAACATGTGTTGCTTTTATTGGTTGATAAATAAAGCTGATTTGGCCAATGGCTAAGCAGGATAGAGCCAGGCAGGAAATTTAAACAAAGATTCGAGTGAAAGCAGGTAGAGTCAGGGAGATGCCATGTAGCTGCCGGAGAAGCAAGATGTGAACTAACAAGTCACCAGCCTCAGAGTAAAATATAAAATAATAAAAATGGGTTGATTTAATTGTGAGGGTTAGTCAGTAATATGCCTGAGCCACTGGCCAAACAATTATAATTAATATTAAGCTACTGAGTATTTTCGAGAACTGACAAACCTGCATTTGCAATGATAGCTACCTGCCTGCAATTCCACATACTCAGGAGGCAGAGGTAGGGGACAATCAGAAATTCAAGCCTGAGTAACGTATTGTTGTCTCAAATGAAATAACAAGGGGTGAAGAGATGGCTCAGCAGTTAAAAGCACTTGCTGCTCCTACAGAGGACCCAAGTTCAATCCCCAGCACTCACACTGCAACTCCAGTTCCAGGGGCTCTGGAGCCCTATTCTAATCTCCTCAGGCACCAGGCACAGACATACACGCAGGCAAACTCCCATACACATAAAATAAAAGTGAATCTGTAGCCTATGCTTTTTCTGATTGCTTCTCTGCTGGTAGGTATTTGGATCACCCTCAAACCCTCTGTGGCTTCTCTGAATCTGTCCTTACAGGACTGGATGTGTTCTGTAGGTGGATGCTTAGATGTGGAGTGGTTAGTGAGTGTCTGTGCACCAGAGGAGGGAATTGGATCCCCCAGAAGTGGAGCTGCAGATGGTTTTGAGCCACTATGTAGATGTTGGGAATTAAACTGGGGCCTTCTAGAAGAGCAACAAGTACTCTTCAGTTCTGAGCCATCTCTCCAGCCCTGAGAACTGGCTCAACAGTGAGGCCACAGCCTGTTCACACTGGCTCTGCAGATACAAATGCATGTCTTGATCCTAGTCTGTGTTGGGGACACCATGCCTGTGGCTTGAAATAAATCACAGTGAGAATATTTACACCATGGAAATTGGGAAATGCTACAAACTAGGACTTTTTCTCCTGTAGAATTAGTTGTGAACACTCACCAGCAGGCCTCTAAACTCACGCACTCCACCCCATGTTGGTCTGGGTGTCTCACAGCAGAAGGGTCAGGAAAGAAACACAACAGCATGGCAGAATCGGTTTGTCTGTCTACTCATGATTTTTGTTTTGGTTTGAGCTTTGAAACGGGGTCTCTCTACATATTCCAGGCTGTCCTAGAACTATATAGATCAAACTGGCCTCCAACTCAGAGATCTGTCTGCCTTTGCCTTCTGAGTGTTGGGACAAGGTGTGTGCTACCATGACTAGATTGTGGTTTTATTTGAGACAGGCTTCTATTTATAACTGTCTATGTAGCCGAGGTTAGCCTCAAAAGCATCATCCTCTTGCCCCAGCCTCCTGAATGCTGGGATTAAAGGCATGCACGGCTGTACATACTCATGCACCCGAGTACATGGACTAGAGATGGGCTTGCAGCCAGAAGCCTGTGGTGGAATACTGGCTATGCCACTTATAGGCTGGGTGACCCCCATGTCTTGGCCCACGAGGGAATATGATAACAGTCCCTATTTGGGGAACCATTATAGGGAGTAGGGCTAGGCTATAGTGAATGCTCAGAGGGTGGCCATGACCTCAAGGAGGGAGGACAGAGTAACAGGATTGACACACAGCGGCAGAAGCTCCATGTTTTACATGCACAAATTTCTTTGGTGTTTTTTTAAATATAATAAAAATAAATACGTATAAAATAGAACTCAAAATTAAAGCCAACAACTAAGAGTGAGAGGGAGAGGAAGGGAGAGGAAGAGAATATGTGTATGGCAGTGGTGGGAAAAGGCTGGATGGTGTGTCCCTCTCTCAGCCACTACTCACCATCAGTGAAGAGGGGCTCCGGCAGCTTTCGGAAGAAAGCCTTGAGCAGGCTGCTGATCACATTGAGGTCCTGCCAGCGCTAAAGAGGAGCAGAGCAGTCAGGACACAAGTATGCTCACCCAGGTGCCCAGGTGCCCAGGTGCCCATGTCCCCACGCCCAGTTCTAGGAGCAGCCAGGCCACCCACCTGCCCAGGCCTTCATGCCTGTCCAGAACACAACCTTGACTCCCGCTAGCCCAGTGGGCTCAATCCTGCCTACCACAGAAAGCAAAAGGACCCGAATGTGGGGGACAGACGTGAGGGGAGCTACCCCCACATAAGCATGCCCTGAACATCTTCAGTGTATACACAAGTGCCAGGGTCAGGCCTGACCCTCAGACCACCCTCTTCATCACAGCCTAGGTGTCCACAGCACAGGCCTCACTGCTAGCCCTAGTGGAACTCTCCACCTCACCCTTCACAGGACTGGCCCTCACCCTGCCTCCATCCCAAAGCCCAAGCACCCACAGATGCTGCCACCCAGTAGGTCATCTGCACCACCTCCAACTTACTTCCAGGTGCTTGTTTCCTTGTTTATCACTATCTCCCATGAGCCTGTGCTCTGTGAGGAGCAGGGGTCCAAATGGCTCTAAGTGAGGGTTGATTTTGTGCCCCAGGAGTGTTTGGCAGTATCTGGGTCTTTCTCCATTTTCATATGTGTGTGTATGCATGTATGCATGTGTTTGGGAGTGTACATGTTCCTATATGTGGAGGCCTGATCTATCGCTCTTCCGCCTTATTTAATGAAGCAGGTCTTTCAATCAAACCCACATCTTTAATCTCAGAACTCGGGAGGCAGAGGTAGGCAGAACTATGCGAGTTCGAGGCCAGCCTGGTCTGAGGCCAGCCTGGTCTGCAGAGTGAGTTCAGGACAGCCAGGGCTACACAGGGAAACACTGTCTCAGAAAAAGAAAGATGTTGCTTATTACTAGCATGTTTGGGTGTGTGCACATGTGAAGGTCTGAGAACACAGTTTGGGAATCAGTTCTCTCCTTCCGCTTGGGTTCTGGGTGAGTTCAAACTCAGCATCAGGCTGTCGTGGTGGCAAGCACTTCCACCTGTTTAGATTTTTCTCCAGTCGGGCCATTTTGGTTCTCACAACTGGATAGAAAGAGCACTGCACACATGGATGGATAGAGGCTAGGGACCAGGGATGGTGCTAAATGTCCTCCAGTACAATGCACACATACACACACACACACACACACACACACACACACACACACACACGCTCGAGCACGAGCATCAAAACATAATTTGCCCCAAATGGCAAATTATGAGCTAAGGTAGAGAAACCCACAGAAACAGCTGACCCGAGATAGTGGGAGCTCACTGACTCCGGACTGACAGCTGGGGAACCTGCATAGGTCCAAAACAGGCCCTATGAATTCAGGTGACAGTGGATGGTTTGAGCAGGTGTGCACAGGGCCACTGGCAGCAGGACCAAGACCTATCCCTAGTGCATGATCTGGCTTTTTGGAGTCCATTTCCTACGGAGAGATACCTTGCTCAGCATAGACACAGTGGGGAGGGTGTTGGTCCTGCCTCAACACAGTGATGGAACAGACTTCCATCAAGAGGCCTTATCCTCTATGAGGAGTGGAATGGGGGGGGGAGGTTGGAGGAGCAGGAGGAGGGGAGGGAGGGGCACTGGGATTGGTATTGTAATAAGAAACTGCTCTAATAAAGCAGAGAAGGAACCACCAGATCATTCTGTCCACCAGGGGGCACCAACACCCTACATGCTGTAGCTAGGAGCTAGACTTAACTACCCTGCTGGGAACCACTCACAACTGCCTAGAAAGCAAGGGAACATGAGCAACAGAAAGCACAATCCTATGCACTCATCACAAAGAGCCCCAGCTTAGTGCCTGATAGTCCCCAACATCACCCTCTCCACGGGCTCCACACAGAGCACTGACTTCCCACACATCTCCCAAAGCAACCCGTGCGAGTGAGCCTGCTACCAAACTACACAGCCAGCACACTGGGCATGCCTGCTTGACCCTGGGTCAGGCCAGCCATCCCTCCAGCTCTGGCCCCTCTTCTCCCTGGCTGAGGTGAGCTGCTGGGCTTCACTGCAGGCTGACCTGGTCTGGAGTAGCTCCTACAAGCCTCTCTCCAATCCTCACCTCCTCCCAGCCCTGAGACCTGAGCACCACTCATCCCAGCTGCCAAACCTAAGATCTCTCAGCTCTGCCTCTGGTCTCTATGACAGTGTCTGTCCCCACCCCAGCCTCCAAAGAGCCCTGTCCTTCTGTCCTTCCAAGCTGGTGTCAGTCTGCCTTTTCCCAGACAGCAGACCCTTGGTCCCAGGCTGTCACATGACCCCTGAGGATACCATCAACCTATATAGGTGATGTACTATCACCCCAAATCCAATGGGGCTACAATCTGACTCTTATCTCCCCACCCTCTCCCCGCTTCAGCCTCTCGTCAAGCCGCTCTCTTCCTCATGCAGCCACCAGCTCTCCATTCTGATCTTTCTGCCTCTTTCCTCCCTCTCTCTCTGCCTCTACTTACCCAGGGCCTGCTGTAGCATCCTGACCCTCAGTGACCCCCACACACCTCAGGAGTTTCTTCCCTAGCTAGACTCTCGCTGTCCACTCACAGCTGTCACTAGCCCTCGGCATCATTCTCATTCTCTTGGCTGTGCTTTCCCAGTGTAACATCCACCCAAAGTCCCCTACTGTCCACTGGCTCAAGGCTGAAGACTCCAGGAACCCATCATACAACCTGGGCCTTACCATCCTCACCCCCAAACGCAGATGGTGTGCCCACTTCTTGTTCAGCCCTCAAACCCTTCCATGAGTTTTGAGCAATGCTGTCATTCCCTACTAGGGCTACCACTTGCTCTCCTACACCCTCAGGAACTCTGGAGGCTGCCCCTGCTCCAGCCCTTAGCAGTCAGTCACCCCTCCTCTTATATACAAGCACTTGATGGCAGATCACTCTTTTCTTTGTCCTTGATGTCATATCTATTTGTCTTCTCTGCCCATCTCCCAAAGACACAAATCCTCTGTCACAGGGTCTATGGTGCTTCACTAGCCAGATTCATGGCTTCTGCCCAAAGCCCTTTGCATTAGAACCCATTTGGTCAAATAAAAATCTTACATAGAAATCCAAGGCAGGCTTAGTGAGAGATGGCTCAACAGGCAAAGACATTGGCTGTCAAGCCTGATGACCTGAGTCCAATCAATCCCCAGGACCCACATGGGGGAAGGAGGGAACCAACTCCCACAAGTTGACTTCTGACCTCTACACATGTGCCATGACATATATAATACATGTGAGCCCCTCAACAAATAAATAAATAGATGTGAAAAAGTCTAAGGTAACATTCAAAGCAAAGCAGGGTGGCCCCTGTCCTAGTAAAGAAAGGAGGTCTTGACCTCTGTGTGGCCCCTCAGAGCTCCTCTGGGAACCCTCAAACTCTAGGAAGGACTTGAGAACTTCCAGCCATGCTACAAGCTCTTTGGTGTGATGTCACCACATCTACAAGTTTCTCTCAGCTTCAGCCTCCCTTTCCAGGCCACAGCCTTGGTGGCTAGCCACCCCAAGAACATGGCACAACCCATTCCCCAGGCCGGGGCTCTGTGTGCCTCAGTGGCCCATGGACTCCAGGCAGCATCCCATTTTTGTCCAGCCTGGTGCTAAAGGACTGCAGATGTGTGTGTGTGGGGGGGGGGGGTTGACAGCAGGAGGCCTAAAATGCTCACTAGCTGGCTTTCTTAGAAATTTAATTCCCAGCAAGTGTGCAGCCTCCCTCTGCCCATATTTGACTTTAAATGAATGAACTAGGCCGCCCTAAGCACTCGTGTAAAACTGTCATCCAGCCAGGAGGACGGCTGCCCTGCTGGAGGCATTTATCTATAATCCTAGCACTTGGACGACAGAGGCAGAAACATCAGACTGGGCTACACAGAAGACCCTCTCTACAAAACAAAACACCTGCATCTGTCTTGGTACCCATCTGCCCAGGGTTGCATCTCTTTTTGGGCCAACCTTGGGGAGATGCCCACTAGGGCTGGCTGACCAGGCAGGCTTTCTCCTACCACCTCGACACTCTGGCCCAGGGATGGGTATAAAGTAGCGCATAGTGAGTTCCACCTGAGAGTCCACGGGAACCCTACCAGCAGCCCTGTCACACCTACCTCATCCTGCAGGTTGATATCACTGGGCCCACGGTTGAGCTGCTCCTGCAGGCTAGACACGACTGCATTGTTGCCAGGTACCCGGTATATGCCAGTGGATTCTAGTCCCCTTGCCTCCACAATACGACAACAGGCAGCCACGATCAGGGGGACACGCTGGGGGCACAGACAGCGGAGAGGGGTTAGGAACATGACTGGAAGTTATGCAGGGGAACACAAAGGCCAGAGGCACCGTAAGGACACCCAAGGAGATGAAGCCCTCCTGCCTTCCTCCTGAGGGTCAGAACTCATGTGAGCACTCCACTGACTGAGAAGGTACAAGCCAGGGTTGGTCTCAGTTCTGTAAAGCCCTCTGCAGGACTCTGGGATCCCATCCCCTCTTTGTGTGTGAGGAATGGGCTGATGCCATACTCCTACAGCCGTGGTCCCCTGACTCGGCCCTTCTGTGTACTGCCTGTTTCAAGCACTGCAGGGACCCACCTGGTTCTCAGTGGCAGGCTGGCAATCCTCCAACCGGATCCCAAATGCCCTTGGGGCAGCCTTCTTGTTCTTCTTGATAATGTTGATACCCCAGGGGGTTTTGGGAGCTGCAGCACTGTCTTCTGGGATGAACAGTGGCAAAGAGAACTAGGATCAGCTGGAGGAGCCCAGAGGGTTCCATGCCCTCAATGCCACATCCACACACTAGGACATAGGAACTTCATCCAGTGAGAGAAGGATTAAACGATGAGGTATTGAGCCCCCAAGAAGGAGAGCACAGCTCTGTAAAGGTTGTTGGTGACCTCAGGGACCAGCCCATCAAGTGGTAGTGTGTGGCACATTTTGGCAAAGGAAACACTTCCTTTTAAAAGTTTAACCCTCTGTGAGTTTGAGGCCAGGCTGATACACAAAGTGAATTCCAAGACAGCTAAGATTGCTACACAGAGAAACCCTGTTTCAAAAAACCAGAGGAAAAAAAAATCACTAAATTATATCACCAGGGCTGGCGTTAATATATATATATATATATATATATGAAGCTAGGCAGTGGTGGTGCACGCCTTTAATCCCAGCACCCGGGAGGCAGAGGCAGGTGGATCTCTGTGAGTTCCAGGCCAGCCTGGTCTACAGAGTGAGTTCCAGGACAGTCTCCAAAGCTACACAGAGAAAACCTGTCTCAACAAACAAAAAAATATGTGTGTATGTGTGGTCTGTGTGTATATGTGTATGTCTGTGTGTGTGGTTTGTGTGTGTGTGTGTGTGTGTATGTGTATGTCTGTGGGGGGGGTTGTGTGTGTGTGTATGTCTGTGTGTGGGGTTGTGTGTGTATGTGTATGTCTGTGTGTGGGGGTGTGTGTATGTGTATGTCTGTGTGTGGGGGTTGTGTGTGTGTGTATGTCTGTGTGCGGGGGTTGTGTGTGTGTGTATGTCTGTGTGTGGGGTTGTGTGTGTGTGTGTATGTCTGTGTGTGGGGTTGTGTGTGTGTATGTCTGTGTGTGGGGGTTGTGTGTGTATGTGTATGTCTGTGTGTGGGGGTTGTGTGTGTATGTGTATGTCTGTGTGTGGGAGGGGGGGTGTGCACCAATTCAGGAGCCAATAGCTGACAGAGGTGTTGGATCTCCTAGAAGCGGGAGCTACAGGTAGTCGTGAGCTCTGGGAACCCAACTCAGGCCCTCTCAGAAGCAGAAAGTGCTCTTAGCCACTGAGCCATCTCTCCAGCCCAGGAAGTGCTTCCTAATAGCCCAGGGTATAAAGACGGATGCTGCCCTCAGAGTGCAGAGTGAACCCTCTCAATCCCAAAGGACACAGAGACCAGAGAACCATCCAACAAGAATGTTGTGGAAGTTAATTGAGATGGATCAGAAGCTTCCAGCCCTGAAACCTTGAGGCTCCAGACCCTTGTAGGGCAGACATGGGAAATAACCCTGAACACACACTGCCCAACACAAGCACACAAAGGGCACCCAGCCCTCCTACCCTTGCTTCCTGCAGGTTGGTCCTGAGTCCTGAGTCCTCGGACTGCAGTCTGCTTGAGGAATTCAGACTTGAGGCCTCCCAGGCCCCGAGAGCCTTTAGGGGAGGAATCAGCTTTAGGCCCAGAGCTATGGCTGCGGAAGTAAAAAGGAAGGGGGGACGTGTCTTCATCTGGGATGATCCAGCATGCTACTCTCACTGGCCTCCATCCCCTCCAACTAGAGACGATTCCCCCAGGCCTGTCTGAGGACCAGATCCCTGGCTGGGAACTCCCAACCCTGTAGGATTTCCTCCCCACCACAGGCTGCTCCCCGAGAACAGGCCCTTACCTCACTTTTCGATAATCATTAAGCTTCTTGCTGATCAGAGCTTGGTTGGCACAGCCGGGGTCCTGCAGCAGGGGAGGAGAGAGAAACCACATCAGTGCCCACAGACCACTTCCACCAGAGCTCCTCCCTGGCCCCTGCCTCAGCCTTGCCTCTATCCACCAGGTGGACAGCATAGACCCTGGATGGACAAAGGCCAGGCTAGACTCCCTGGCAGCTGGGTGACTTTGGGTAAGCCACCTAACATCTCTGAGCCTCAGTCACCTTGGCAATAAGCATAGTGGAGCTAGACAAAGCAGCCCTCTGGGTTGGGTGCAAAACTGTGTAGCACTCCCCTCAAGCCTGTCAGGTATGGAGGGCACAACCAAGACAGGAGGCCACTATAGCAACTAAGGAGAAAACTTGGCCAGGCCTTCAGAACAGGGGATCCAGGCTCCCTAGAAGGGGAGGACCCCATCAGTGAAAGGGCTTATTTTCAGAAAGAGGGCTATCCAGGTGCCACTAGGGCGGTGCCTAGGTTCACCACCCTTGGTGGATGCAAGCCTTCAAGCCCAAGACTGTACCTTTCTCTGCACAGGTATGTCCAATGACCTCTGGGCATATCAAACCAAAAGGAGACACTGGCAGTTCCCAAGAGAGATGCCATATTTCTTAAGCTGTCTCCAAATCACTTAGCCTAATGCTGCCCACCTGCTGCCAAAGGCTAAAGCCTCTGGTTAAGGTCAGTGTGACTGTCCCCCAAATTAGTACACTTAGGCAGGACAGGTCATTCTGCAACCGGCTCCATGGAGATTGTCTGTCCTGCCAAAGGCTATGGCTGCCAGGAGCTGACCTCTCTGGGCCACAGCTTGCCCAAGGCAGCCCCAACAATAACAGTAATTACTGTCATTACTGCAGTTGTTATTGTGTCTGCTGGTCAGTGGACCCTGAGGATGCCAGCTGCCCTGAAGTCACTGTGTATGTGTCTGTCCTCACACCCAAACCCAGGTAGGCAGTCCCAAGGTGGACTCAATAGCTCTGTTTTCTAGGGGAGGGAGTGAGGCTCAGAGTGGCCACCCTAGGTCACAGCAGCTAAGAGGAGGCCTGCCTTGCCCTGCCCCTGCCTTGCCCTGGTGGCCCGCTGGGCACAAGCCCAGGGCCTCACCTCGCCCTCGGCCCTGCTGTTCTCCCGGATCGCTCTGATCCAGCCCAGCATGTCATCCCGATCCTCAGCCTGAAAGAGATATTCACAGAAGTCAGCGGTGGTCAGCCGGAACACGTGCCTCCTCTTGGTCTCGCTGTAGGAGATGTCCACCAGGCAGGAGCCGATGCAGACGGGCGCCGCCTCGTCCTCACCTGCGGCCGCCGCAGCCCCCGCAGCCGCTGGCCCGGGCTCCCTCCGCTCCTTGCTCAACGAGAGCGAGCGTGCCCGCAGCACAGCATAGACACGCTTCCACTGGCGCAGGCCGCCGCCAGCTTTCTGCAGGGAGACACAGGGTGGGAGAGACAGGGCAGCGATGAGAGCCAGGCCTGCCACGGGTCTGCCCGAGACTGAGAAGCAGCAGGCTGTGGACCACAGCGGAAACAGACCCCAGCCCATCCCACCACCCCACAAACACCTGGACAGCCTCCAGCCAACAGCCCAATGCTGGGCCCTCAGTCCACTTGCTCAGACCTCTCTATGTACCACTTAGACGCCCAAGATGCCAACCTCTTCCCACTATAAATGCCAGTATTGCCAGGCAGGGACCTAGAAGAGGCTGGGAGAAGGAACAGGGGCGCCAATCAGCACTGAGTCCTTATAAAAAAATCTCACCGTCCCCTGTGCATACCCTGCCCCGTGTGTCACCCTCAAAAAAAAAAAAAAAAAAAAAAAAAAGGGGGGGTGGGGGGCGGCCCCCCCCCAAACCCCCCCCCCCCCCCCCACCCCCCCTTATTCGGTCCCCCCCAAAAAAAAAAAAAAAAAAAAAAAAAAGGGATGGTCAGGAGCTGTCCTCCCTCAAGACTCCTCCCTCAGACTCCCCAAAGGGTGTCCTGCCTGAAAGCCATTCTGAGTCACCTGGGATCGTCATGTCCCCAAAGCCAGTGGCTGCTTCTGGCCCTTGCCTCACTATTCTATGGCAGCATTTGACACAGTAGCCTCTCCTTTTTCTTGTTGTTTTCTTTTGTTTTTCTTGAGACAGGGTTTGTCTGTGTAGCCCTGGCTATCATGGAACTCACTATGTGGACCAGGCTGGCCTAGAACTCACAGAGATTCGCCCGCCTCTGCCTCCCTGGTGTTGGGATTAAAAGCATGTGCCGCCATGCCTGGCTTCTTTCCCTTTCAATGCCTCTTTGGCATATAAGGCCCATGTTCTGGGTCCTTCCAATCTCTCTGTCCCTCTCTTGGACCCCTTCATAGTTTTTCACTCATGCTCTGTACCTATAGTTCATTCTATTTTACCCCATTTTTATTTTATGTGTGAGTGTTTTGTCTACATCTATGTGCACCATATATGTGTTTGGAGCCTGCAGAAGTCAGATCCCCTGGACCTGAAGTTACAGATGGCTGTGAGCTGTCGTGTGGGTGCTGGGAACTGAGCCTGGATCCTCTGCAAGAGGAACATGTGCTCTTGACCACTGAGCCACGACCCCAGTCCAACCTATAGTTCTTTCTTACCCAGGGTGTACTGCCACTTGGAGACATTTGTCTAGAGACACGGTGGATGGGAGGGAGAGGTGGTGCTTAGCAGATGGCAGCCAAGGGTGGCACTGGCCACCCACTTATCCAGACAGCACCCCACAGGACAGCACTGGCCACCCACTTATGCAGACAGCACCCCACAGGACAGCACTGGCCATCCAGCTATGCAGACAGCACCCCACAGCATCAGTCCTGGCTCAACAGACAACCAAGAACAAGAAGGAGACCTGCCTGGCATGAGGCCTCAGGGCTTTGTGCTGAGCAACCCTCACCCTGCACACCTCAGGCAGGGACACTATGCACACCTCCTGCAGGGACACTATGCACACCTGTGGCTTTCAACAGTCGACTGCTCATGGCAACTCCCAACTTGTACAGTGCCAGCCTGTACCAGCCCAATCTTGAATGGCTCATAGCCAGCTCAGCAACAACCCCCCTCCCCAATTTGCATGACACAAGGGTAGGTCCCATGCTCTTTCCTCACTGTAGTGCATGTGTCTCTGCCCTCAAACCTGTTCTCCACCCTCATGTCACCTTTCCCAGCTCAGTCAATCCACCCAGTTGCCCGAAACCTGGGAGTTGTCCTTGACATCCAGCTCATCAGAATCAACTCCCCTGCTTTCAGAGTGCCACCTGTCCCAACCTGGAACGCTGCCACCCTGCCTGCCTCATTGACTCCTCTCACCTGGGCAGCAGCACCAGGTCTTCCCAGCCCCTCTCACCTTGGTCCTCCAGGCGGTAGCCCCACCATCATTTCTACAGTGAAAGAGCTTACCTGTGTAGCCCCTTGAACCAAACAGAAGATCCTGAGGTCCCATTGTGACCCTCTCCAAACTCATCTCCCTGCTTCCACTTCCTCGATCTGTCAAGTCACCAGGCCTTTGCCTACCAGTGACGGGCACAGCCTTCTGTTCTCAGGGCCTGTGCACTAGCCGTTCTTCTCCGATGGCCTGTATTCTGTCTGTCTGTCTGTCTGTCTGTCTGTCTGTCTCTCTCTCTCTCTCTCTCTCTCTCTCTCCCTCTTCATCTCTCCCCCTCTCTCTCTCATTTATTTATGCATTTATTTTATATGGGTGGGGAAATGTGGGTGTGTCATGGCAAGCTATCAAAAGCCAAAGAACAACTTGCAGCAACGAGTTCCCTACTCCACCATATAGGTCTCAGGAATCAAGCTCAGGTCGCCAGGCTTGGTAGCAAGCACCCTCAGCTGCTGAACCATCTAGTCATCCCTCTCCCCCTTTTGTCTTTTCTGTTGCATTAGAGATTGAACTCAGGACCTGTATGTACATGTCAGGTAAGCCTTCTACACTGAGCTAGATTCCCCAGCCCTTAGCCCTGACTGTCCTAGAACTCTATGTAGCCTGGTTGTCTTGGAACTTGCTCTGAAGACCAGACTGGTCTTGAACTCACAGAGATCCGCCTGCCTCTGCCTCCCAGGTGTTGGGACTAAAGGTGTGAGCCACCAACGCCCCAGATGTGCTTGAATCTTTGTGCCTTGGATTCCCAAGTGTTCAGCTTCTCTCACTTCTTTATGTGGCTTCCTCCTTCATCAGACTCCTCTAAGTCACCAGCATCAGCTGCTTGATAAGGTGCCTCAGACTATTTTATTGCCCTGCAGATAGCCCCATAACCTCAGGTCCAGGCTGTGAGTTTCCTGGGTACAAAGCAAGCTGCTTGGACAGGTGCTCTAAGCCCAGGGCTGGGTGCAAGTCAAATGTTCATTAGCTAATATTGAGTATGCTCTATGTCCTGATGGTGGGGCTCCAGAGCCCTCCAGAAAGCAGGGCCGGAGCAGCCAGGCCCAGCTTCCCTTAGGGTAGATCCCAAGGTATGCCATCACAGAGCTGCTGGACCAAGACAGTGCCAACTGGAGCAGCCCTACCACTAATGTAATAAATTAAACTCTTGTTCCAAGAGAATAACCATGTTAGCATGAGGTGGCCCTAAGGGCCCCTCTAAGTCTAAACCCTGAATAAGTCCCTCTCTGGCATCAATGTCGCTGATAATAAACACTGAGAGTTAAGTGGCAAGGGTCCATGGCCATGTCCCTCAGCTGTGACCCTGGCATAAGGAATACCACATGCATGTGCCCATCCTCTTTCTGGCCACTGGTGGTCTCTAAAGCTGGCAGAGGGTGGGAGAGAGAGGCTGGGACCACCAGCGTAGACGACATGAGGTGACAAAACAGGACCCCAGACAGAACCCGGGTCTGCAGCTGACTCTAGGATCCTTCTTTTACTTCCTGGGCACGGCCCCAGGTTAACAAGTGACATTGGGCTTTGGCCAGCAAGAGAGTGGAAAGAAGCCCCTGTACTTCAGAAATGGTCAGTGAATCAAGGAGCCAGTGTCTTTCCCTGCCCAGAAAACACTGAAGCTAGGCTGCCAGGGTCACTGAAAGCTGGGGCCAGTCTCTCTGGGAGAAATGCCAGTTAAGACATTTCTCTACCATGGGCTTAGAGGATATTTCCACACCGGGCTCTGCTTGTACAGCTCACAAAGCCACCTTCCCCTCCTAGTCCACCCCATCTTGGAGTGGCTGCTATCTTCCTAGGTCTTTTTAGTTTCCTGCTAGCCTTACCTCCCCAGTTCCCACTTCCTGTCAAGAATATGCTGTGGAACTGGTCTTTAATCCCAGCCCTGGAGAGGCAGAGACAGATGGATTTGAATTCGAGGTCAACCTCATCTACAGAGCAAGTTTCAGGACAGCTAGGGCTACACAGAGAAACCCTGTCTCATAAAACCAAAACAAAACAAAAAACTCATGGTCCTTGTCTTCTCCCTGGACCTGAGGCCACGGGTACCTGTGCTCACCTGGTGGTCCTCCCTGTATGCCATACCTATGTTTCCATTCACAGAACCTCAGCTAGAGTGCATGGAGGGTCACAGAGCTCCAACAGAGCTTCCTCTTCCCAAGTCTGCTCCTCAAGTGGCCAGAAACTCAAGGGAGAGTCCCTCCCACCAGCCAAGCCAGGAAGCCAGGAACCTCAGCCTGCCCTCTACCTTCCTCAGCCCCAGGGCCATCGGCCAACCTTTTCCCTAGAATCTCTTACAGACAGCCCCTGATCACATAAAGAACAGCAATGGTGCTGACTCCTCCCAGCACAGACACTCTAGCCTTCTGTGGCACACATCTCCCCAGGCCACCCCATCTCAGGACAGAAAGGTTCCCTGGGTACCAAGCCTCCACTTCACCTTCTGCTATCTGTTCTGAAATCTAGGAAATGTGGCTCCTGGCACCTCCTCTGAGCCTCTCTCCGGCCCTCAATGAGGGGGTCTCATCCAGGGTGCTTCGTCCCATCCACACCCACATACTTCATGTCACAGCCCCCTAAACCCTATCCTGCTAAGCCTCTAAACTCCCCATGCTGACAGGGAATGCACCTGTCACTGAGGAGCAGTTAGCACTTTCTTTGTAGTCATCAACCCCAAGAGGGCAGGACTCACCAGGTAAGCTGGCCCCATCACCTAAGTCCCTAGAAGCTTAACAGACCCTCAGGAGCTGGAGGCTTTGTGTCTGTAAACTCCAGAGCTCCCTAGTCTCTACTTCTGCCCTCTTGACTCATCTTACAGCTCAGGGAAGTCAAAGTGGCTCCTCAAGCCATATGCTCACAGCTGTGTGTAGGAATTCAAAGTCTGATTATTTCAAAGTTTATTCTTTCCAGGTACCACCCTAGAGGCACCTCTTCTACAGGTTCCATAACAGTGGATTTAACCAACCATGAATCAAAAAACTCAGGAAAAAAAAAAAAACCTCTGCATCTGTACTAAGGGATACAGACTTTTTCACTCAGCATTCCACAAACAACCCACTGTAACAACTATTTACGTGGTATTACACAGTATGAGGCAGCAAATGCCATGGAGAGATGACTTACACAGCATGGGAGGATTGCATCAGCTGCATGCACATACTAATTTGCTTTATATAAGGGACTTGAGTGGTGTCATGTGGGGGTGGGCGGGGGGGGGGGGCCGCCCTTCCGGGCCATCCCCCTTAGAAACTGAGGGAGACCTGTAATGGCATTAAGGCAGAAAAACAGAAGCCCCCAAGTGTCAAGCTCTGGTAACCTGGTAACCCCAGCCCCACTCCCCCCCCACAACTCTTTCAGCAATGATAGGAATGGAGCCAGGCCCTTCCATAGGTCACGCAAGAGTTCTGTAAGGACAGCCCACAAGAAACACTAGTGTGTGTGTGTGTGTGTGTGCGTGTGCGTGTGCGTGTGCGTGTGTGTGTTGTGACTAAGGCCTAAAACCAGGCCCTTGTGCCTGCAGGGCAAACAGTCTGCCAAAAATCTACATTCCCAGACTTTGTGTAACATTTTATTTATTGTTTGTTTGTTTGTTTTGAGACAGGGTTTCTCTGTGTAGCCCTGGATGCCCTGGAACTCACTCTGTAAACTAGGCTAGCCTCAAACTCAGAAATCACCTGCTTTTGTCTCCCAAGCACTGGGATTAAAAGCATGAGCCACCACTGCCTGACCACATTTTATTTTGAGACAGAATTTTAGTAAGTTGCCCAGGCTGGCCTTGACTCACTCTGTAGCCTAGACAAGTCATGAACTCTCCATCCTCCTGTCTTAGCCTCCCAAACAGCTTGGACTACAGACCCGTCTCACCACACCTGGTATAGTACACCCTTTGTTCAGACCATGTCTTTAAATGCCTAGCAGCAGGTTAGGAAAAGCATTAGTCAGCATCCCTTATAGACACTGAGTCACAGCACTAGGGACAGAGCCCTCTGAGCAACAAGTCATGCCATCAAGACTCAAGGCCAAGTTTGTCTGAACCACCTGCCTCCTTTTTCTCCCTCTTCCCAGTCCAGGGCCCTCAGCATAGGACTCAAGATCAGGCCTGGTACATCAAGCCCCCCTTCTCTTCTGATCCTATTTGTCCCCTCCTGCCTACCTCCTCACCCACTCCACAGGCCCTTGCCTCTCACCTGGATTGTGTGGTGGCAATCTTCTAAATGGTCTTCTTACTCCAGGCATCCCTCACTAAGTCACCCCAGGAAGCCAGACAAGCATTTGAAAGCTCTAACTCTCCCAAGGGTTCCAGTTGCCCTTAAGCTAAGTCTGTAACCCGAGGACCTCACAGGGCCCTGGGAAAATTGGCTTCTGCTTCTTTCTTGGGCCTCAGCATCACCTTGGCCTTGCTCCTTTACCATAAACCCCAGTGGTCACTCAGGGTCACTGAGGAATGGTTTGTCGGGACTCCAAACATAGCTTGCTGTGTACTTCCACAGCAGGCAGTGCCTCTCTGTTCCTCCCTTTTCAGGGGTTTGGTAACCCCCCTCTCCCAAAAGTTCTTCCTAGCATCTACCCTTGAGTCGTCAGGCTGTAGCCTAAAGTGGATTTTTTTCTGGCTCCAGAGGCTTCAGGGCAGGTATAAGAGGATCTGGGAAGTTCTGTCAGAACCAGCTTCCATTCAGCTGGGACCTCCTTCCTCAGGCCACCTTACCTTCCCCTTCTTGGTGAGGATCTGTTTATAACATAACCAGCCTTCTCTCCTGATGTCACTGAAGGTCACATCTGAGAGGTCAGAGGTTGAGTGTCGCTTAGAGGGGGCATCAGCATCTTCAGAGGTGCCCCAGCTATCTAGAGACTGTACGGAGAAAACAGAAGGCAATTTAGGGTGGCTCCCATAGTACCGGCATCTCAGGAACCCCATGGACCACTGACAGCCACAAGGGCCTGGTGTATGTCTGTGCTGAACTCTGATGTGCTGTGTGATCTCATGGGACTTGCTTGTCCTCTCTGGACCATTTGTGTTGAGATCACAAGACCTCATGAAGAAGCCAGGAAGGAGGAAAGGTTCTGGTCTGCCAGCAGAATGCATGCCTCCCCACGCTGGAAAAGTCAACCAACCTGGGCCTTCCCTCAGTTTTACAGCCTTGAAGGAATTGAGGAAACAGGGGAAGCAACTGTGGCAATAAGGAGTTAAGTAAACAGGGGAAGCGGGAACATCAACACCAAGTAGAGATGGGACAGGGGGAAGTGATGGTGTCAACAGGAATCCAGCCTCAGAGCTGGCACATCCAGGGGAGAGCTCAGCAAGCTGAGGAAGTGAGAAAGGGGAGCCAGGTGGCCATGCCCCTAAGGTGCTAAGCTACCAAAAGCCATGTGCATGCGTGAGAGGAAAGTGCACAAACTACCAAAAAGAGAAAGGAAACAGCAACCATGGAGGTGTGGTTTCAGAGCAAGCCTCAGAGGGCCCCACAAAAGTACAGCAGTGTTACACTGTTCCTAGCATTCCCGGGGCTGAGGCAAGAAGGTTACAAGTCTGAGGCCAGCCTGGACTCAAATACTGTCTACAAGGTCTATCAAGACCCTGTCCTAAGAAAACCAAGGACTAGAAGGACAGTTCAGTGGTTAAAAGCACTGGCTGCTCTTGCAGAGGACCCATGTTCAGTTCCCAGCCCCCGCATGGCAGCTCACATGACTGTAACTCCAATGCTTTCTTCTGACTCCCACAGCAACAGGCATGAGCATGGTGCACATACATACACACAGGCAAAACACTCAAACACGTGCAAGAAAACAAATCTAAAATACATTTTAAAAGAATCTGAAAGTTTGTGGGACTAACAAACACTGACAGGTCCAGCTTCAGGAGGCTCCCATGCCTCTGGCTTCCTTGGGCACCTGCACTCAGCTATGTACTCCCAGTCATACACACACAAACCTGTAGGTGTCTGGTCTGACCACTAAAAATAAATAAATAAATGGGGGAAGGAAGGGGAAAAAAGAAGGAAATTAGAGTTGGAAGCTAGGTGTGGTGGCACTGAAGAGGCAGAGGCAGGGGATTTCTGAGTTCAAAGCCAGCCTGGTCTACAGAGTGTGGCCAGTGATAGCTACATAGTAAGCCCCCGACTCAAAACAAACAGCAACAAAGAGTCGGAGATACTGCTCAGAGCTGTAGCCCTTGGTTCCATTCCCAGCACTGATGAGAGAGGGTGAAGAGAGAGGAGTGAAGAGAGAGAGAGAGAGAGAGAGAGAGAGAGAGAGAGAGAGAGAGAGAGAGAGAGAGAGAAAGTTGGTTTAAGACTTTCTAGCCAGGCGTTGGTGGCGCACGCCTTTAATCCAGCACTTGGGAGGCAGAGGCAGGTGGACTTCTGTGAGTTCCAGGCCAGCCTGGTCTCCAGAGCGAGTGCCAGGATAGGCTCCAAAGCTATACAGAGAAACCCTGTCTCAAAAAACCAAAAAAACTAAACAAACAAACAAACAACCCCCCCCCCACACACACACACACACACTTTGGGGCTGGAGAGATGGCTCAGTGGTTAAGAGCACTGGTTGTTCTTCCAGAGGTTCGATTCCCAGCAACCACATGGTTGCTCACAACCATCTATAATGAGATCTGGTGCCCTCTTCTGGCCTGGGCACATGCAGACAGAACCCTGTATACATAATAAACAAATCTTTAAAAAAAAAAAAAAAAAAAAAGACTTTCTAGATTCAAGGACAAAGGCAAAGTCCTCAGGTGGCAGGAAGGTCACATGGGTGACATGAAGATGAGGGTACAGGAAAGGGGCCAGGAACCATAGTACTTTGTTTAGGAATCACAGGAACCTAGGACATACAGAGCTATCACACATGCATGTATACACACTCACACACATGCACACATGCACACACAAATGCACACACGTACTTTGCTGGCTTACCCCATCGGTGAAGAAGCTCCGAAGCATCCGTAGGCTGGGCACCCGGTTGGGAAGGCGCCTGGGGAGCAAAGACCCAAGGTGAGGGCTGTGGATGGCCCTAATTCTCCTCACCCACCCAAACCCATGCCCAACCTAGGAAAGCAGAAACCATCCCACCCCAGACAGACGGCCTCACCGGAGCACTCGGCCCTCATCCCGGAAAGTGTTGAGTCCATCATCACAGGACTTGGAGCGCTCTGTGGTGATGGCCAGTAGGTAGGAGGAGCGGCGGCCTGCCTTGATGCTGCCTGAAAAGGTGCCCACATGAGGTGTCGGGGTTAGAAAGGAGCAGGTTGGGAGATACCCTAGGAGCCCTTCCTGCCAGTCAGGGTCAGGAGTGGGCTCTCCCATGGGGCCCCAGAGGAAGCAAAAACCACCTGGAAGCAAACCTACATTGGGCATAAACCCCCAAGGACCAGGCAGCAGCAAAGGGGTGACACAGGGGGGCAATACTCACTGCAATCCTGGGAGTAATGGCGGCTGAGGGCAAAGGTGAACGTTGGTGAAGATGGGCTAGTGCCCAGGACAGGGGCTGAGTTCATGGCACTGGAGACTACTGCAGAGGCAGGGACATGCTTGGCTTGGAGGTCAATGCTGGGGCTGGTGGGCTCATCTGCCAGCAGAGGAAGGAAGGTGTGAAGGACACAAGCTGCCTGAATACCCCAGTCTTATCAGGCTCTGGACACACACAAGCTGCAAACCTCTCAACTCCTCCTCACTGGGGCATTTCTGACAACATGTTCGCTGCCCTGAGTGCCTCACCCACCAGACTGTGGTCAGGGAGTATATCCTCTTAGCAGGGGCTGAGCCTGCCCCGCATCAAGAGCACAGAGGAGTGGGACTGAGAACCCCATCAGATGGGTGGCTTCTGAGGACAAGCATTATGGCTTCCTATTAGACGGACACCTGACAGTGGCTCAGCTGGGATTTACTGAAACAGGGATAGATCCCCATTGCAGGCTGCTGATGGCATCACACCGTCTAAACTTCTTCCTCCGTTCCCAGGCTGCTCAGCTACAAACCCAGACCCAGGTCTTAGGCCAACATCATCATCTTGCATTTCAGGCTTTCTCCAAAGACCCCAGCCCAGCCCAGCCTGCATCTCACAGCCCTAACCCTTTTCTTGTTCTTTCTGCACTCCTATTCCCAATATGGAGACAAGGCACCACCCTCCAGGCAAGCCAGAGAACTGGGGATCACCCTTGCCTCCCTGCCTTCTAGCCTCCCCCACTCTACAGGCAGCCACCACAGCATCCTCTGTTCTTAGGGTGGAATCCAAGCTTGGCTTGGAATGGAAAGGACCACATGGCCTGGAAGAGCATTCTGCCTCTCCCACTGCGAGCTCTGCATATTCCCATTTATTCTGAATTCTCTTCCTCAGTCTACCTCCTTCTTAACCAAGTGTTTTACCAATATTTTCCCAGTGCCAACCACACCCATTTAGGCCACAGAGCTCTTCCCCATTCACAGAGCCTATCCATGTACTTTCTGTCTGATCATCCATCCCCTAGGTTAGCCACAGCCTAGCACAGTGCCTGATGTAAATATTTGTTGAAGGAATGTAGGACAAGTGGGAAAAAAAAAAAACAATGAAAGACACAAAGGGTGGAAGGAAGAATAAATAGGAGGAAGGAAAGATGATGAACGAATGACTGAACAAAGAAAGGCGGAGAGAAGGATGAGTGGAGGATGGAAAGAAAAACTGGATGGAAAAATGGCCAGAAGGATGAGTGAGTGGGAGACAGGATGGAAGACAGGTTGAACGAAGAATGGACAAACCCAGGTGATCCTCTGGGCACACAGCCCAGTCACAGGCACAGTAGACAGGTAGTGGGGACACAAAAGGACAGAGACTAGAATAATTAGCCAGCTGCTTGTAACATCACTCACCAATGAAGGGGATAGAAGCCAGAGAGTCTTCTGTAGTGGCCAAAGGGGTCACCTTTCTGCCTGGACGTTCCCCTCTGGCCTCTGGATCTGGGGACTCATCACCAAATCCAAGGTTCATCTGCCTTGCAGGGGTCAGCTGGACCTTCCGACCCGTTGGAGGCTTCTGCCTCAGGACCACCTCATCACGGTGATCCTCTGCGGGAGGCTCCAGGGTTCGGGTGCTAGGTTCTGGCCGGATGACTCTAGGTGGTTCAGAGGCCTCTGGTGTGAATGGTGCAGGAGCCTGGGCCAAGTTGAAGGTGGGAAGTCCCCCAAAAGGTGAGTCCCGGAAGGAGAGCGCATGCAGGAGACCAGTCCGGCGCTGAAATGATGGGCTATAGCTCCTATACCCAATGTACCCGATGTCATCCAGGCCCTGAAGGCCAGGTTGGGGAGGGGCCTGAGGCCCTGGCAGGTCCCGAGAAGGGCAAGCAGAGGTGCGGGCAGATGGACGCTGGGAAGCCCAACCACAGCGTTCAAGACGAGGTGACACCAGTGCTCCTGGCCCTAGTGCTTCAGCAGAGCGGGTAGCCCGGCTCAGGTAATCGTCCGAGCGAGCCCTGTGCCAACCCTCCTGGCCCAGCTGGCTCAAGGCATCCTGGGAGGTGGAGCAGGGCCATGGGTGGTGGGTAGTCACATCCTCCAACCGGTCCTGGGAGGCACTGCGGGCCCGGGGTGGCATGGCTGGGCACCGTCTCTCCCCCGCCCTGCGGGGTATCTGATTTGACAGCCAATGTGACAGAGCCTGCTGGCACTCCAGTCTGCTGGGAAGCACCCGGCTGCCGGGCTCTGGGAAGGCACGGGGCGTCCGGGACTCTGAAGGGAGGTGGGGAAAGGCACCAGGGCTTGGGCGGGGCTGGCTCATCCCCAATAAAGAGTTGTCCAGGTGGGCACGGGTGGCAGATGGGACACGAGACCCTGGGTCACTCCAGGCAGCAGGACTCCGGGGATCCGTGGGTAGTGCTGAGGTGGGCTCAGGCACCATAGTGGCCCAGGCAGAGGCCCGGGTGGGCGGGGCATAGGTCTTGCGTGGGTAGCAGAGTGGAGGTGGTTCTGGGATGCTGCGGGCCTCTCCAGAATACGGCTCGTTGCCCTTCAGGTAGGCATCCTGGGAGTAGGCCTGGCCAGAAACAGAGGCACAGATGCATGACCAGACTGGACTTAGAAGACAGGAATGAGACGGCCCTAGGGTACCAAAGTCCTCAGAAGGAATAGAAGGGAGATGTTTAGGTAGGGGCATCCTGAGTGGATGAGGGTACTCCAAAGAGAGTCCTTAGGGAGGACAAAGAATCTCTCTCTCTCTCTCTCTCTCTCTCTCTCTCTCTCTCTCTCTCTCTCTTTCTCTCTCTCTCGCCAGATTTCTCTAAGACTTATTAACAAGGACAGCCTTTAGCCACAAACATTCCAACATCTGTTTGCTAGGGTCCTCCCCCACCCTGTCCTCTACAGTCTACTGTTCTTTTATGTCCAACAATGCCCACAGCTCCTGGAGTATACTGGGAAAATGGTCAGAAACCTGTCAAGGTAGGGAAGACAGTAGAAAGCTGGCTAAGGGGTGTGTCCAAGGAGGGGTGGTCTGAGGGTGGGCAGAGGCTGGAAGAGCCCACTGTCCCTTCAATACAGGGTGGTGTATCTGGGGCCCAGGGCTTGAGCCTTGGGATGAATGTGACCACTTCTTGCTCCCCAGAAGCTAGAGAAGGGGCTTAGAGAAGGGGCTGGACTGGCTAAGGGGCCTTGGGCCACCTCCTGCCACCCCTAGGCCTGGAATTTGGCACTGGCTGCTAAAGCTGACGCTGCATTGCTGAGGAGTGACAGGGCTGGCGCCCAGGCTCAGCCAAAAAAGGAGGCAGCCCCCCAGGGACAGCAGTCTTGTGTCCCTGGCCCAGCCCAGCGCTAGCTGAGCTGAGGGGGCCTGTCTCAGGATGAAGAAGCAAAGGGTGGGAGGGAGAGCCCAGACACACACACACACACACACACACACACACACACACACACACACTACACCACATCACAGACAGATAGCAAGATACACACCCTGACACACAAGCACAGCACACACAATGAGATACACAAATAAATACCCCTCCAGTCCCAAACACAAACATCATGTGACAAGGACCAGCTAACCACACCCCCGCATACTCAGGCCCCTCCAGTCAGGCATACTGGGCCAGCAACACATACCTCTCCCTACTGCCATCCTGCCGGCTTCCGGGGCTCCCAGCATCACGGTGGCGGAGGCAGCATCCCGCTAACCTGTGCCTTCTGCCTCTCACCACAGCCCCTGCCCTGCTGGTTTGGGTCCCTCAGTCCCCTCAGTCAGCCCTCCCCAAGCTCCCCCTCTCCCCCACCCGGCTCTCTTTCGGCTGCCTGGCGGTAGGAGGAGGGAGGATGGGTGTGGAGGGGACTTGACGCGTCGGTGGTGGCGTCAGCTACTGCCGCCACCCGATTGGCCTCCAGCCTTGGCTCCCAACCACAGGAATGCCTGGGCCCCACCCTCCGGCTGCCTGGAGATGTTGGGTAGTGGAAGCTCCCAGATGTTGACATCTGGAGCTGGCAGCCCACTTGGTCTAAGTCTAGCAGAGTTCAAGGCTGCTACCTTTGCCATCCTGTGGACCTGAGAGGTGGCCTGAGCCAGGGCCCAGGGTCATGTCCTGCCACTCTCTCCTAAGTAGCCACGCCTCAAGTTTAGCATACAGGCAAGCTCTTTAAGACTTAGGGTGAGCCATCCACCTCTTTGAGCCTCCATTCTTTCCTCTTCATCTCCAGGAAGAACAAGGGGACATTTAAGGTCAGGAATGGAGGTTCCCAGGGAGGCATCATGCCAAGTGTGGCCCTGTCATTACAGTGACACAGCCACAGCCAAAGCCAGCACAGCAGCTCCGAGCCTCTGGGGCTTGGCCCTCAGCCATCCTCTGAGGGGCAGTGACCTAAGGAGCAAGTAAGCTGGCATCTGGGTAGGATTTATGAGACCAAGAACAGGACACTAGGCAAGGGGGGCGGTGTTCTAGGCTCTAGACGTAGGGCTTTGGGTTTGCTCCATACAACACATGTGGGACACGCCTTTGGCCTTTGGGCAGCACCCTTCATATTACATTCTGAGTATGCTGAGGCACTGGGGGTAATGGGTTCAGAATTTATATCCCAGCGTGTCTGAATTTGAAATCTTGTGGTATCACTGAGCATAGGTGCCTGAGAGGGCCTGCAGCATGCTGTGACAATTGTGGGCAGCATTGTGATAACACGCCAGTGTGTGTTTACATCACAGCAGCACAGAATCCAGACATGTGCAGCATTTGTGTTACAAGACCCAGGTGCAGGGCTGGAGAGATGGCTCAGAGATTAAGAGCACTGGCTGCTCTTCTAGAGGTCCTGAGTTCAATTCCCAGCAACCATATGGTGGCTCACAACCATCTACAATGCGATCTGGTGCCTTCTTCTGGCCTGCAGGCATATGTGCATGCAGAACACTGTATACATAATAAATAAATAAATAAATAAATCTTTTAAAAAAAGACTGAGCTGCAGGTGAGACCACTGTGAGATCTTGCTGTGTGCTACACAGGTATTGTGGTACACACTGGCATAGAGAGGGAACCATGGTGACACTGAAACAGAGAGAGGGTCTGTTAGCCTTGGCCTGCAATGCCATGTGTGTCTTATACAGAGCTGAGTCACATGGTGCTATGGGTGAATGCCCTCATCTGTAGTAAGTGGCATCTGTGACTGAGGGATGTGTTGTAGGGTGGCGTTTGGTATGTGCATGTATGGACACAGCTACAGAGCCATGTTCCCTCAGGCCACATGGGCAGGGGGTGCAGGGAGCAGGCATCTCTCACAGCAGCAAACAAGAACATGCCAGGCTTGCAGGGCCCGCTGGGCCACCCTTTCATGTACCCTGGCAGGAATCCTGCCTACCAAGGCCAGCACCTCCTCTCCCCCTAGCACAGAGCAGCCTTGAGTGAAGCAACAAACAGCCCCAGCCCAGGGATGGGCCCAGGGAAACCCCAGTTGAGCAATGTCAAGCTATTTCCTTCTCTTTTCTCCCACAAGGGTCCAGAAGACTGCTGGGCCCAGGTCCCCCATGCAGACAGAGGGACTCACCAGCTGGAGGATGTCCTCATCCTTGGGCATGATGGAGAGCTCCAGGGTGTCATCACTGCAGAGACAAGGAGAGTCAAGCCAGAGGTGACAGGGTCTGGGGAGAGGGATCAAGTTGCAGGGCACAGGCTGTGGGAGGGGGAGTCTGCATGCTACACTGGAAGGAAGAAGGCCAGCCGCTCACCTGTTTTGGATCAGACCTATGACTTGGGAGTATGTCTTCCCAATGACGCTCTCCCCATTCACCTTCACCAGCCGGTCTCCTAGGGACAGGGAATGGGACCACATGTGAGAATCCAAAGCAGGGGGCAAAAGGTACCCCTGTACCAGGTATGAATGGTGGAGAGAGAAGAACTTCCTTGGCATCTGGGTTTAAGAACCCAAGCCAGTTAGAAGAAAAGGTGACCCCAGAGGAGTATGTGAAGTCACTGGGCAGGCTTACCTGTGCGAAGCCCTGCCCTGTGGGCAGGGCCACCATCCTTCACATTCTTCACAAAGATGGTGTCCATGGGCTCCAGTCGGTGCCGGGGGGAGGGTCCTGGTGGGCATCAGCCAGGTTAGCTGGGGTGGCTGCTGAAGGCCACACCCATGCACAGCTATACATATAGGGGTCACACACTCAGAGGACAGTCACATACAGACACAAGCATGCAATGACCTGCACTCCTGCATGACCTATACCTACAACCACACAAGGTCCCACACAGGAGGACACCACCAAGGACACACAAAGAGCTTCCCACAGCCATGAGCTGAGTCCCTAGCCTGTGCTAGAAGCCAGGCTACACAGTGTGTGTGGACACACACAGCCCTTGCCCTTCCAGAGGCCACTATCAAGCAGACTCCACATACAATTCACAAGACAAAGGGAGATGCCATACAGGAGGCCTCCACAGGGCCAACAAGATGGTTCACTGGGGAAAGACATTTGCATGGTCTGAAATCAATCCCTGAAACCCACAGAAAAGTGGAAGGAGAGAGCTAACTCCACCAAGTCGTCCTCTGATCTTGACACAGTCGGCATGGTACATGTACACTCTGGCATTATCCCAAACACACACACACACTGATAATGTTCAAAAAGAGAGACCTATCTGGGTTGGAGAGATGGATCTGTGGATTCTCTTGCACTTGTACAGGGCCTGGGTTTGGTCCCCAGCACCCACATGGCAGCTCACAACTGCCTGTAACTGTAGTTCCAGGGATCTGGCACCCTCTTCTAACATACTCGGGCTCCTGCACACACATGGTTCGCAAACATACATATACCCAGGCACACACAAACATAAAATATGTTTTTTTAAATACTATTACATTTATTTGTTTAAAGATTTGTTTATTTATAATGTATACAGTATTCAGTCTGCATGTATGCTGGCAGTTCAGAAGAGGGCACCAGATCTCGTTACAGATGGCTGTGAGCCACCATGAGGTTGCTGGGAATAGAACTCAGGACCTCTGGAAGAGCAGTCAGTGCTCTTTACCTCTGAGCCATCTCTCCAGCCCCAGTTGTGGTGTTTTATCTCTTCAGGCCACATAAAATATGTTTTAATGCACCTATCAAGTCTTGAAGATGCAAGGCGGATCACAGGACCAGAGATACCCAGTATGTCTCCCACCCTTTTTCCTTTTCCAGGGTCAGGGGCTCCAAACAGAAGCCTGAGAACACCGGGATGGGCACAGGATAGACACTAACTCCATCATTGCCAACAAGCCTGTCCCACTGAACCCTGTGCTAGGGCTACGTCTCCTTTAGTCCCAGGAGGACTCAGGAGGATCATGTCCCCTTAGCTGCTCACAGACAGAGGTAGGGCAGGAAAGCTGCCTGTTTGGGGAGCTTGGTTTTAAATACTTGGGGAGCTTGAGAGCCAGCAAAGGACCCCTGAGATAGCAAAGGTGGGCCAGACAGTGGTGCACACTCTTTTAATGCCAGCACTCGAGAGGCAGAGGCAGGCAGATCACTGTGAATTTGAGGCCAGCCTGGTCTACAGAGAGAGTTCCAGGACAGTCAGGGATACACAGAGAAATACTGTCTCAAAAAACCAAAACCAAACAAACAAAAAGATAGCAAAGGTGACAGTAAGGTGAGTCACATTTAAGACACACCTTAAGGCCCCACTATTCCTTTCGGGACCTCACTGTCCACCGTCTCCACCCACAAACTGAACCCATCTCAGTACACCCCAACCCTGATCCACAGTCCCTGCAGCCTTAGCCTAGACTGTTCTGGGAGAGAGTAGAGGGAGGGTGGGACCAGATGGGGATCTGTAACCCGGAGTACTCTGTATCAGATGGCTGTGGGAGGGACAGGCCCATAGGAAGACAACCATGAGAGGGAAAAAAATGGGGAGGGAGAACAGAGAATGAGGAGGATGCCTGGAGCTAGCCTAGTCAGGAACAGAAAGGAGAAAGACTACATAGGGACAAGAAGAGGGTGGAGCACACTGGGGTGCAGGAGAGAAACTGAATCTCTGCCCCACCCCTGCTCCTCCCCCTTACCTCCTCCTCTTCCTCCTCGGCTTTGGCCTCCATTCTCTTCCTCCTGCAGGGAACAGAGAGGTGGGTGTGGCACCTGTTCAGTCCCCATGCTGCAACTGAGCAGCCCTGCTGAGCCATCCCCCCCTCTAACCCTTGTCTCCTTCCAACTGGCCAACAGCTAGGAGATGGGAGAGCTGTTCTAGGAGTCTGGGTCAGAACGAATATCCCAGTAATATATACACACACACTCTATTCTCAGACCTGCCAGTCCCATCACACTAGCATCCCAGGATTCCAAGAACATCCATTCTGCCAGGGATCCATGCCCTCTTCCCCAAGGGAGGCTGCAATCCAAGGGAGGAGGTCCCCAACACACATGCAGAGGACTCAGGATGACAAAGATAAGTAGCCTGAAAAGTGTAAACAGGGCTATCTCTCTCAGAGAATGGGCTGGGAGGTCTGATTAGCAAGGGGGAAGGGTGCACGCTTAGGGCTGGATGTGCTGAGCCAACACCAGCAGTGACTAAAGTCAGAGCAAAGCGTTCTGGTCTGAAAGAAGAGGGGCTAGGAAAGGGTCTTTCATTAGCAGAAGTGGGTGTCAGGCAAGGGGTGGGATTCTTGCAGCTACCTACAGGGGTGAGGGAGAAGTGCAAGGAGGGAAGGGGTCCATCCTGGTGAGGGCAGGTGCTGGCATTAGAGAAGAACCACGAGAAAAACAGACAGGCTGGGCCAGTGGGTGTAACATCTCAGAGGTGACAGAGACCTTTAAGGTCATATTGTCCAGTCAGCCTTTCAGCAGCAGAACCAGCACCCAAACTCAGGACTCACTGGCAGCCCAGTCAGGTCAAGGTGGGCCAGGAAGCTTGCTGAGTGCTGCTGGAGCCTGGGCCTCTGCCCAATTTCCCATGGGAGGCGCATGCCAACTGGTGTGAGCTGACAGCATAGACAGCAGGTGGCAGAGGCAGGCAGATGCATTTGGATGGCCAAGCTCACTGCAGGATCCAAAGCAGAGAACTCTGGCCTCCTACTGCCTCAGGATGAGAGCTTCTCTCAGTCCAGGACAGGTTCTAGAAAGGGAGGGAGCAATCCTGGCTTGTCTTGCCCCAGAGTTGGCCAGTGACCCATGAAAAAGAGAGCCCACCATACTATACCACAGCCTCTGTCACTGCCACTCCTCCACAGTGTTCTGAGAGAAGGTGGCAGGAACTGGAAAGAAGGAAAGGAAGGACTAGGGGTTCCAGGAGTAAAGGGGCTGGTGTCCTTGGTCACCTGCTGCTTAGGGTTAGTCACAGTCAGTGACAGTGATGATCCTGGTATCAAAAATTCATGCACATGTGAAAGCCACAAAGTATGTGACAGACATGTACACACATCATAAGCCTACAGATACTACATACACACACACACACACACACACACACACACACACACACACTGATACACAGGTGCAGAGACATACAGAGAAACCTAATACTCTGGTTGTGTGGCAGGAGGAGTCAAGGTACCCAAGCGATAATCCCCCAACAGTTGTGCAGGCTGATCCAGCCCTGGGGTAAGGAGAGACAGGGATTCATCAACTCTAATAGAAATTTGTCTCCTCTGCAGGGAGGGAGGTTGGGAGCTCAACTGCTGCCTGGCTACCCTCCTGTCTTCCACACTCTTTGCTCCAGCTGGTGGCCTTGTCTTGGCCTGAGAAGTTATGGTTGTATGATTCAGAGAGCCTGATAAATCAGTATTAGGAATGGAGATCCTAATCCTTTGCCTTAGGAATCAAGGCAAAGTAGCCCTCAGGAGAAACTGAGTCACAGAGTGCTGAGAAGGCTCTAAATCCAGTGGTCAAATCTACAACAACAGAGGATTGAGTTAGGACTTGTGGGGCCCTTGGACCCCTCCCTCAGAACTCTTTCCAGAAAATAAGGAGAGTGGAGGTGGGGGTCTCTCACCCCTCAGCCAGGGGACAGAAAGAGCTAGCCCAGGTCAAGAACCAGTGGACAAGTGAACAAGGAGCCCATTACCCAAAATGACTTCCCTTTCCAGAGACCGTGCGTGCGTCTATGCGTGTATCCGTACATGCTGATCTGCATTTACTGACTTCCCACCTCTGCATCCCGTGACAAGACCCAGTCCAGAAAAGTTAGGGAATTTGTCCACAGTCACAAAGAAAGAGTCCTAGGTTCAGCTGGAACTACCTCCTTACAGAGCTCTTACTTGGTTCAGAAGGGAGCCAGGCTGGACCCCTAGAGAGACACCTCTGACAGGCATCTAGGACAGGCCAACTGGCTTCTCTCTCTGGGCAAGCTTCCCCCTACAGAGTGGCCAGGCACTGGCAAGCTGGACGTACCTTCAGGCTACAGTGCACAGCTGACTCGGGCGGGTACACGATGAAGTGTCGAAGGGTGAAACCAAAGCCATCCTGGAGATTTTTTCGCAGAAGCAGTGTCCTAGGCCCCTGCCAGGGGAGGGGGCGCCCAGAAGAGCACCCATCTCGTGGGCCCAGTGGAAGCTGCAAGAGCACAGGGAGATAGATGAGTGAGTATTATATAGCGTATGCTCACAGCTCTGCACCTGCCTCCAGCTGCCTAGGAGCCTAGGACCTGACAGGGACCACCAACATCCACAGCCATGAGGACCCAGGTCCCTTCTGGGCCCCGACTCCGTCACCATATCCTTCCCCTCTCACTCTTTGAAGCCTAACAGTTTCTTCCCTCTGAGTTTTTCCTTCAGTATCCTCCGTTGCCTCTCTGGAAATTGAGCCAGATTACATTTACTATGTGCCAGACACTGCACACACAGCTTTTCTACATAGGAAGTCGTGCATACAACTCTGGTACAACCCTACACACACACTGACATGCATGAACACACCCAAACACACACACGACTTATGCAGACAGAACATACCACAAACACAGGCACACAAACAAATGTGCACACATAAACCGGATGGTGGTGGCACATGCCTTTAGTCCCAGCACTCAGGAGGCAGAGACAGGAGGATCTCTGAGTTCAAGGCCAGCCTAGTCTACAGTGAGTTCCAGGACAGCCAAGACTATATAGAGAAACTCTGTCCCCAAAAAACAAAAAACAAATAAACAAATGATAAAAATAAAAAGTAGCCGGGCGTTGGTGGCGCACGCCTTTAATCACAGCACTCGGGAGGCAGAGGCAGGCGGATCTCTGTGAGTTCGAGGCCAGCCTGGTCTCCAGAGCAAGTGCCAGGATAGGCTCCAAAGCTACACAGAGAAACCCTGTCTCAAAAAACCAAAAAAATAATAATAATAATAATTAAAATTAAAATTAAAAAAAATAAAAAGTAACAGGGCTGGAGAGATGGCTCAGAGGTTAAGAGCACTGACTGCTCTTCTAGAGGTCCTGAGTTCAATTCCCAGCAACCACATGGTGACTCACAACCATCTATCTATATTAAGATCTGGTGCCTTCTTCTGGAGTTCAAGCATGTGTGCAGGTAAGAATACTGTATACATAATAAATAAATCTTTAATAAAAAATATCCAGGCATTGGTGGTGCATGCTTTAATCCCAGCACTTGCGAGGTAGAGGCAGGCGGATCTCTGTGAGTTCCAGGCCAGCCTGTTCTACAGAGCAAGTGCCAGGATAGGCTCCAAAGCCACACAGAGAAACCCTGTCTCGAAAAACCAAATATAATATATAAATAAATAACAAATGTACGCACAGGCAGACTCACAGAACCATATGTTTACACAATGCAGGCACACTAGCACGGACACAGGTACACATAACCAGTCAACCAGTCTCGCATACACACATATACACAGCACAGACTGGCACACAAATGTACTCTCCAACAGCATGGGATCAAAAGCCCCAACTGGACATCAGGCCACTAAAGGAACTTGCTGAGGTTGCAAAGATCAGTCCAAAGGCCAGGTTGGTTCACCAGAAGGCAGATGGGAGATACTGCCCTCTGTCCATCCTGCCAGAATGTTTGGGATTCCCCTCGATGACATCAAAGGCTAGACAATGATAAGAGTTGAGGGGGCCACAGAGCAGCACATCTGGAGCAGGAGGCAAGAGATGACAGAGAGAGAAGACTGTCTTGAGTGTCTTTGGACACCAAGATAAACAGCCAGTAACAGGCGTGAGATAAATCGTACGAAGAGGGTGACAGAAAAGACAGGTGCCAGGGGATAGGGTGTGAGAAAAGCAAGACGCCTTTGGCAAAGCCTCAAATACTCATAGCCACTGGGCAGCCTGAGCTAGCATTTGCCTCTGACCCAAAGCCCCAGGAAACGAAAAGCTTCCCACAAGCCCCTTTAACGGGCTTCCAGCTCCTCCTTGGCCCTGGCAGGAATCTGAAGAAGGCCCAGGGCTGGTATGGACAATGAAAGCCCATCAGACTGGGTGTAAGGAGCCACCACTGTATGGGAAAGCTGTCCTTCTGCTAGCTGGAGAAAGCTCACAGACACCTGACTGCACAGGGATGCCAAGAGGCCCGTGTGAGAAGCTGTCCACCACGCCTGCTCACTGAGTCAACGGAGAGCTCATGCATGCGGGTGCACGGCCAGGAGGCTTAGTCGCCATCTAGCAGGGTTGGGGGAGAGAGCAGATTCTGGAATCTCAATAAAAGAAAAACGAGACCGACATAATAGGTTTGAGGACTGTAGTCTCAGGGAACAGAACCAGGTGGAGGCCACAAAACAGCTGAATGAGACGCCAGAAAAGGAGACATTCCACAGCCTGAAAAACCATAAGGGCTTAGGTAGGTTCTGAGCTCTCAGCCCCCAGAAGGGTCCAAGCAAGGCCTAGACTACTCCTGATCCCAGTCCTTAGCAGAGGCCCAGTGATGTCCCCCCTTCACTTGTGGCTACACCCTGGCCTCTTCCACGGGCCCTACATTCCTGGGGTCCAAGGAGCCTGGCATACAGTCACTGGAAATTCCTTGAGATCTGAACACATCCCTCCCTCATTTCCCTGAAAGGAAAGATGATCTCATGGGTTTCCAGAGCCCCTCCCACAGAAACCCCTGCTCCCCTCTAGTATGGGCTGCCCTCCTTCCCACTCCCACCCAGGCTCAGAGATGAGGGTGTTTGCAGGGCCCATTGTTTTGCTGGTGCCCTGGATTAAGGTTTAAGCCACCAGCTGCCCCAGTGATGAGAAGCGGCTGGGACAGGTCCCCACATGTTCCCCTCCCCTCCCCCTACACACACATCCTGCCTAGAGCTGCCAGCTGCCTGGGGGTGCCACTCCCTGAGGGGACCTGCTTGTAATCCAGGACAGTGGGTATGCCTTCCTCCCACTGGTCTCTCCTCACCCCAGCACAACCCCCCCCTCCATCTAAGCCTCTCCAAGTCCTAGGTTCTTTCCTTCCAGGTCCAGTCTACCACTCCTTCCAATTAGTCTCTTGATAATGTAGTAGTCGCCCCCTGCCCTCCTCCCCCCTCCCCACCAGCCACCACATCCCTATCAGAAGAGGAGACTCCACAGACCCAGTCAGGGCTGGCTGCTCCCCTGTGGGAAGTTCTTTTGGACTTAGCCTCAATCCTTCATGTTACCTTATATGCGGGTTTCTGCTCCTCCCCTCTGACCTGGGAAAACACTGAGTCTTGCCCTCCTCTTGAGGGCAAGAGTGGTGCAATGTACAGAACAGAAAGGCCAGGCAGTGGTGGCGTAAACCTTTAATCCCAGCACTCGGGAGGCAGAGGCAGGCAGATCTCTGTGAGTTTGAGGCCAGCCTGGTCTACAGAGAGAGTTCCAGGACAGCTAGGGCTGTTACATAGAGAAACCCTGTCTCGAAACAGCCCCCCCATAAAAAAAAGGAGAGAGAGAGAGAGAGATCCAGCATTGAGAGCTAGGGAGACGGAGAAGTATAGTGCAGCTCCCCTAACTCTGACTCTGACACAGACACACAGACAGGGCACAGACAGGGGCCACAGGCGTTGCTGATTAAGCTTTTCTGGCTGAAATCTATTTGCAATCACTCTCACCCTCTTGTCTGAAAACAAAGAGACAGCCAGAAACACCAACTGTTGTTAAAGAAGGGCCAACAGCCCATGGAATACATCAGGCAGAAGTGGGGCACCCCCGATGGATTGTCCACATCAGTATGACACTCCCCCGCACCCAATCCACCCCAGCATAAAGAGGTCATTGCAGAGAACACAGTATGGAGGCTGGGCATGGATGGCTCCCACTGTGACTCACGGCTACCAGCCTGGCAAATCCCGAACATCAGAAACACTGTCCCTAGCCCGGCCACTGCCCACCCTGGAAATCGCCCACTGCCTGCTGGGGGCCCATTCTGTCACTTCAACTTCCTCTGACCACTAGGAAACCCTTAAGTGCCTCTGTGTCAGCAGCGTCCCTGCTGCTAGGAAAGAAGATAGGAGAACAGAGTGGCGCCCACTGTTCGGGTTAGTGACCCTCGCACTGAGTCTCTGCCAGCCTAGATTCCTAGACATGCCAGCGACTCCTCCAGTCATTAGCCCCCATTCCATCCTTCCAGTCTGTAAACCAGGAGGGCCGAGTCCACAAGGTGCCATTACCCCGACTCCAGGTTCCATCCAGCGCCGCTGGGAAAACTCCCACACAAACGCTGCCACCTCACCCTGACTCTCCTCACACACTCCCCACTGCAAGGATGTCCGTCTGGAAATGCAGAACTCCCTCAGCTTGAGCGTGGGTTACCCGAGCGCCCACAGCCCCTGACATCCAGCTCCCGCCCCGCCCCAAAGCTGTTGCTCACCCTGGACGGACGGAGCCCGGGTGTTCGGCGGTCGCTGTGGCTCAGACAGGGCAGCCAGAGGCAGCGCGGCTCCGGGGCGCTGCAGTCCACGCCGACGGCTCGCTCCCAGCGCCAGCCCCCGACGCCCGCGCGCTCCACGCGCCACACGGCGCTGCCCAGCAGCGCGGCCTGCGGGGACCCCCGGGCGCGGCCACCGTCGCAGCCCCAGCGCGCACCAGACCTGGCTTCTGGAACCGGACGCGCTGCGCGGGACTCCGCGACTCGGCGCCCGGCGGGGGACGTCCTCGGACCCCCGCGCGGCAGGCGGAGCCCAGGGGTCCCAGTCCGCCCCCCAGAGCCGCGGGCTCGAGGCCCAGAGGCCCCGAGGGGGCGGCCGGCCCGCGCGGACGGCGGCAGGACGGCTAGAGCGGGGCCGCGCCTCCCGCGCCGCCCGGGTAAGAGCGCCCGCCAGAGCGGGGCAGGGACACGCCGGCAAGTCGCTGGGACAGACGCCTCCCCCTCCGGGGCGGCCCCGGCGCCGCGCCAGCCCACCCTCCGCCCCACCAGAGGCTTGAAGCGGGCCCTGCTGAGGCACAGCACACACCATGCAAACTCACCATGCAAGAACTCACACTGCTGGGCGATCACACTATGGGCCCGTTGGCTTCACATTTCTGCAGAAACATGGTCTAGCTGTGTGCCTCACAGCACCCTTCCACTTATCTCTCGGGGACATACTGTCTTCACAGACCCTCAGTATGGATATCACACCTTTGCACATCCTCCCATGCAAACATCCC